ACCTCAGTGTTGTCTCACCAACCCTCCTTCCTTTACTAACATGGAATGTCATCAATGATCCTTACGAAAGTGACCACTTTCCCGTAACGCTAAGCTCACCCATGTCAAAAGAATATCGCCCAAGGGTCCCTAGATGAATCACTGACAAAGCTGATTGAGAACAGTTCTCGCATATTACTCACTTAAGTTAGACGAACCTATCTGCTTCAAACATAGATGCAGCTGTACAACACTTTTCAGCTTTTCTGACCGACGCTGCAACGAAATGCACCCCGCAAACTTCTGGACTGCCTGGCAAGCGACACGTCCCATGGTGGAACACTGAATCTCGCAATGAACGCAAACATCAAAACAAAGCGTGGAGGTTGCTACGGGATTCGCCGACAGCAGAGAATCTTGAAAGCTTTAAGAAAATTAAGTCCCAAGGCAGGAGAACGCGCCGGCGGGCCAGGAGAGAAAGCTGCCATACGTTTTTATCAGGCATAACTTCATATACACAAGAAGCTAAAGTCTGGAACATAGTTCGCAAGGTCGCAGGACGACATCCATCTTCACTACCTCTCGTAGACACACAAGGGGACACCTTGGAAGACCAGGCGAACTCCCTCGGCGCCCACTTCGAAGAGGTGTCCAGCTTGTCACATTATACTGCAGCTTTTCAACGACACAAAAGAAAAATCGAAAAAGAGAAACTACAGCGAAAATCCTCTAAACATGAGTCGTACAACAACCCTTACAGTTTGGCTGAGATACAAGCATCGCTACATGTTTGCAATAAATCAGCCCCAAGTTCGGAGCGTAGAGCATACGAAATAATAAAACAACTGTCTTCTGAAACACAAAAAAACCTGCTTTCCCTGTATAACTCTATCTGGTTTTCCGGTGAAATCCCCTCAGCCTGAAGAGAAGCCATTATTATTCCAACTTTAAAGCAAAACAAGGATTCATCTTCCGTTAGTAGTTACAGGCCGATCGCACTTACAAGTTGCATGTGTAAACGTTTTGAAGAAATGATAAATGGCCGACTTGTACCGTACCTTGAAACAAACAATCTGCTCGACCCATTCCAATGCGGCTTTCGGGAGGGTAGAACCACCACCGACCACCTGGTACGTATCGAGGCACAGATCCGAGATGCCTTCGTCCACAAAAAATACTTTCTTTCTCTGTTCCTCGACATCGAAAAAGCCTATGATACGACATGGAGATTCGGAATTTAAGACACCTGTCCAATCTTGCTTTGCGTGGTAGGATGTTTACTATTATCGAAAGCTACTTGTCCACTCGTACATTCTGTGTCAAAGTCGGCAGCGTTCTTTCCCTAACATTTGTCCGAAAACAGGAATGCCGCAAGGTGGTGTACTTATTGTACTCTTTTTATTGTCAAAATGAATTCTTTGCGTCATTCCATCCCACAAAATATGTTTTACTGTACATATGTCGATGACGTCCAGCTTGGATTTAAGTATTGTAACCTAGGAGTTTGTGAGCGACCGGTTCAGCTTGGCTTGAACAAGGTGTCCCAATGGGCGGAGGAAAACGGATTCTGATTAAACCCCCAAAAAGCACGTGTGTCTTGTTCTCTAGAAAAAGAGACACTCACCTAGACCCTAACATTCAAGTGCATGGTGACGGCCTGTCTGTTAATGCCGAATACAAATTCTTAGGCTTAATTCTGGACACCAAGCTAACATTCGTACCACACATTAGGTATTTAAAAAACAAGTGTATCAGAACCATGAATGTTCTAAAAGTGCTGTCACGCACTACGTGGGGGAGTGACAAGAAGTGTCTCATGAATTTGTACAGGAGCCTCATACGCACTCGCTTGGATTATGGAGCAATAACCTATCAGTCTGCGACACCTACCGCCCTAAAAATGCTTGACCCTATTCCCCACATAGGCATCCGCCTCTCTACGGGAGCCTTTCACACCAGCCCCGTAGAAAGCCCGTACGCGAAATAAAACGTATGGTCACTCCACCTACAGAGATGTAACATGTCTTTTCTATATTATCTCAAAGCAAAGGCAGACAAGGACCACGCTGCACACTTCACAATTGATTACATGTCTACTTCAGTTTTGTTTCAAAAGCGGCCATCTTTGAGACAGCCCTATTCACTTCGTGTGAGAGGCCTTTCTGAGGAAACCGGTGTGTCACTCGAATATCGTTTGATGGCTCCCGCAGCATGTCTGCCACCATGGCGGTGGCAATTGATAGATTGTGATGTGTCCTCTTGAGAGAACAAAGCACGCACCCGTTGTGCATATCCACACATACTTCCTAGAACTTCAACAAAAGTACACATACCCTGAGTTCTTTACAGATGCCTTAAAGTCCACCACTTCTGTTTCATACGCAGCCATTGGCCTATTCTTATCAGATACTAGCGTCCTGCATCCTGATGCACGCATTTTCACAAGAGAAGCCTACGCAATACTTGCAGCTGCTTAACACAATGCACATATATAAAACTACAAAAAAGCGGTAACCTACACAGACTCTCTGAGTGTGGTGAAAGCCTTGAAAACACTTACAAAACGCAAAATCCCAGTTTTTGAGTCCCTTTATTCACTCTTATGCACAGTCTGCTCAGCCAAACAGCGTGTTGTAGTCTGTTGGGTGCCGGGAAACCGTCAGATAAAGGGAAACGTTTTGGCAGATCAGCTGGCTGCATCCGTCAGCATCGATGCCGCTAATTCATCAATACCAATCCCTGCACTTGACATAAAACCTTTCCTGAAACTAAAACTCACAGGTTATTGGCAAAACTTGTGGGATAGACACACAAGTAATACACTACATGTTATTAGCCACAACTTTGTCATTGGCCGCCCCTATCAAAATCGCGACATACAGAAGTGACACTCACAAAACTAAGAACAGGCATACATACTCCACACATTCATATATTCTGTCTGCCAGGGATTCACCATTGTGTGCGAGATGTGGAGAACCACTTACGGTTCTCCACATCCTCGTCCAGTGTAATGAGTTGGACGCTCTAAGGAAGAAGCACTTTTTACTGCCCTACCGACAGCAGCTCCCACTACACCCTGGGATGCTTATCGGTAGGGATCCGAAAAAATTCACTCATTATTTACGTTTTTAAATGATGTACATAGTTTTTAGTGCATATTTCAAGGTGATCTGTAGCAGGACCTGTGGTGACTACATCTCTGCTATAGTCTTATTGTCATGACCTTTCGTCATTTACTCTCACTGCACATATTTCACGCATGATTTTAATACTTACGTTTTTACCCGCGTTGGCGCTAGGAGTTTTAAGGCCCCTTTACAGTCACTCATCATTTACAATACCATTGTTCATATCTCTAGCCTATCGAAATGGCGCTCTTTGGTCATAAATTGGCCCTGGCGCCATAAAGCGCCACACATCATCATCATCATTCTCCACATGACATTGCTCTTTGTTTCTGTAGCACTCGTTTTTCAACCCTTGTGGCGAAACAGTGCATAATGAACGCTCAACACTCTTTGTTTCACATTTGAGTTTTACCGATATCTGAGAAAGATATTGTTCATGTTTTTTTAGAAATGCGACAAATGGGATGAAGAGAATTAACACTCTTTTGACCAGCAGTGTGAACCAATGCTCTCGCCGAGCAAGCTTTGTCCAGTTTGACTCCTAACACAAGAATCACTGATACAGTAGTAATGGCTTTACCGATCAGGCTCAGATAATTCAGCGTCTGCAGAAAGTGACAACGACCTCTTTTGTTGGTTATAGGCATGAATGCCGTCTTCATGGCTGGTATTGCCATTTGTCAGTCCTATACACGTACAAAAGTCCGAGGCCTTGTCTAGGGCACTTTGCAGTGCATGCTGCTGGCGTTACAGGTTTGAATGTAGTGTCCTAACAGTGAAGTCATCCATTTCTTTACCGCCATGTCTGCTGAACTTCATTAGGCTTCAAGGTTTTGTCTTTCAGTCACAATGGCACTCTTTTAAGCTTTCATAGCTCAAAAAGTTTATAAATATAGATGCTATATTTTCACCCCCAGTGTGGTCAAGTAAAAGTAGGGACCTTTTAACACGGAAAGGTTAAAGAGCTCGTTTCACAGAAATTCCGGTGGCAGCGTTGGTGCCAGTGGCAACATTTTGGTTGCGAGCGAAAAATCATCATCTTAAGCGTGACTCCAAAATCGAGAACGATGCAAATAAAATATTTGAAGGATAAAAAAATCTCGAGCAGAGTTGGGACCAAACCACAGTTGTTTGGGTCTTAATTAAAATCAAGCCCGGGTCTTTTGCGTGGCAAGCAGATTTTTCACCACACAGCCATGCTTCTGCTTGTGAAAACGCTGAAAAAACTTTCCTATGATTAGAAGAGCAGTGAAATTACCGAAAACAGCCGCCGATTGGAACCACCTTCCCTCTTCCGTTGTATCAATAACAGACCCTTTGTTATTCAAGACTGCAATTTCTCAGCAATGCTTGTAACTATACGCAGTTTCCATTATCTATCTTTGTCTTGTATGTGCTTGAATTCTTATACATTTTTAGTGGACTTATGTTGTCTTCCTGATTTGCGCATCTGACACTTGTTTCTTTATTTTGTCTTTTTTTGTGTGTTATATATGTTGTACCCACCCCCTCTGTAATGCCCTACGGGCCCTGAGGGTATTCTTATAAATAAATAAATTACCTTTCATGCCTCACAAACGCATGTGTCTTGTATCCATGCTTCACATTGCAACGTGAAATATTGCAAATAGTGCGTGGTACGAGCGTCCACTGCCAACAGGTATCATGATATTTGATTATTATAATGGCTCCATGGATGAAAGCCGGCATCTTACTACAAAAGGTACACCAGCTACTGCGCCTATTCTCCTAAAGTCACGTGGTGGGTGCATAGAAAATTTGAAAACATTTTGTGCACTGACTGATTGAAGTACAAACAAGAAACAGGATGTCGTTATTGCGTGAAAATCCTGAAGGCGAACATTTAGGGTCTTCTAATTTTTTCACCAGGGTGCTACTGGTGAGGCTGGAAGAGTAGGAGCTCCAGGTCCCATCGGCTCCCCCGGACCCCTTGGTTTTCCTGGGCCCAAAGGAGAAGCTGGTCCCGAAGGCCCAGCCGGACACCCAGGGAGCCCAGGACCACAAGGAGCCCAGGGAGACCGTGGCCTGCCCGGACTTCCAGGACTGCAAGGACCTTCTGGACCAGTGGGGCCTCGTGGCCCACAGGTGAATTATCACAGCCAGATACTGAATATTATCTGTACTGTACTCTAAAAATTTAAGCACCAAAGATTGAAGGACACTTCATGAATCGCAAAGTGTGCTTGCACTGTCCCTTTTGGCAAGCTAGATTTCAATGATAGGGAGTGGGTGTGTCTCCCTCTTTGCATGAGTGGGCAGGTTGTAGCCGGCCTACAGGAAAGACGTTTGTCAACGAAAGCCATGCGACCAACTCGACTGCTTCGGCGAGACGTCTGAAAAAAGAGCATTTCCACACACACCACTGTGCTATCACGTCATTACTGAGAGAATTTTTAGGAAGAGGCCAAAGCTGGCATCCCTCCAATGCACGAACGAACGAGTGACCGCGAGTATGAGCCAGTAGAGGCTTTCGGCTGAAAACGGGAGTTAGTGTAAAAGTAGTGTGCACAAATAAAACAATTACATATCGGCTCAGCCAGTGCACGTAGAGTCTCGGTAGTCAGTGTCGTGTCCCGTCTTCAAGCAGTGTTACGATAGGCAGTTATAGAGTCATTATCACCAGAACAGCAGGAAAAACGGTCAAGCGTTGCCTGATATACTCGGCGACAACTTTTATTGGCATTGGAGTGGAGGCTACAGAGCCAAATAGCGGGTATTCTTCCGCCAGCAAATGTATTTCCACGAAAGCGCCCGTATTTTCACCCTTAGTTGTAAAATTTCCCCCTTATGATCTACGTGGAACTATTTGAGAAAGAACGCAGCTCACACCATTAAGGTAGTCATCTTTACTTCAATTGATTCTTTGTGACTTCGCCTTTTTCAATGCGTGAGAAAGTCCCACCTTTTTACATGCACAAGTGGCGTCTGCGTCTACATGAGACGCTGATGGTGCACCCCCATGACTTTCCATAGCGTTACGAGACGCGCGCGAAAACAGAATACTTGATGTAGTGCTACATGTGCAGAAGCTCCGCCTCTATAGCTTTCCCTTCAGTGCCAAGAAAAGCTGTCGCCGAGTATACACAATACTGATGCACTGTGAGCAGAGAGCTCTCAGACTCTGACAGGAGTAAGTATTTTTGGATTAAGGTGACTCAGTTCAAGCTAACATTCGTGATCACGATACATTATAGCTCCCTAATTTCAACCCAAGTGGAAGCATCAAATTTTTCTAGCTAAGCGGAAGACGAATTGGTCGACGGACGCCAAATGGTAACAACATCTCGCCGTAATATGTGGACAGAGCTCAAGCAGGCCACCTCCACCTCGTTATCGTGAACTAGCCACTACTTTACGTTGGTGGCAGCTGATTTTGTTTATTAACTTTGTGGAGGTTCTAACAGAGAACAGAATAATTCATCAGTCAGTGATACGCCAGAAACCAACACAGGCATGTGTTTATAAGAGCAGTGAGCCATAAAGCCATAATATATTACCCTATTTGTGCTTTCAGATACTTTTACTTACACGGTAGTGTTCGCGCAATCAAAATAAAGGGTAATCGAGCCCTACCCCGTGTGTTTCCTGAACTAGAATAAGGCTTTATAAACAACAATTAGTATTTTTTTATTTCTCTGCATTTTTATTTTCCACGACAAAGTGAACAAAGTTTGTAAATTTCCCAAGAGCTCCAGCGCAGCATCTGAAATCTCATTTGCTGAGGAATTCTGCTGTAACTGATGCGAAGCATCTCAATGGGCCCCTCACTTGGTACCGTAACAAATTTTGATTCGACTGTGGAAGTTGTTGTGTGTCCGATGAAGAGCAATATGCCACAACTTTTTTTCAGTCGGCTCAGTACAAGCAGTGAAAACAGTTTTTGTCGAAGCTGTGCGAAAAGAAGATGCAGGGAGGCGAGCTCCAAACGCTTACCGCTAACCCCGCACAGCAGTTGGAGGCCCAATCTCTTCTGTACACTTTCTGGCATCCGACCAACCAAGAATTCACGTGCAAATGACGTGCCCTACCAAGCCCAACCCCCGAGCACGCGAGCTGCGTTGTTTGGTTGACCAGCATTATATTTTTGTAACCTGGCTCTTTCTGCCATAGAACTTCCTAATATACGGTAGAGGGAACTCCGGTGCCAGTTCCCATTGAAGCAGCAACATACAGCGTTTCAGCGAGCCTGGGAATGATGGGTAGTACTCGTATTTGCCTAATGTTCATACTTCAGGCCTGCTTCCGGCTCCGTGTGTGTTCTTGTGTCTTGGAGCTGTTTTCTTACGAAACAAGAATAAACAAACGTCCATCGGTTGCACCTAACCACCTCATTGCTTTAGGCTTACCATTTCGAATAGAGTCGCAAAATATAAGTGTTCATCTTTTTCTTAAAAACAAAACCGAAACCAGCAATAAAGGAAGCCGCAGTACTATTCGTCGCCCGCAAGTACGAAGACTACACTCTAAAAAAAGGGGGGGAGCGAGAATGGAGAAACGGGTTCCATTCCTCCTTCGGCGCAGCGACTTCCTCCATTTCGGGTACTTTACCCGTCGCGCCCTCTCGCGGCAAGGACCATAAGAGCACCGTTCCTCCTTCAGCGTACAAGTTTCTCCTCAATCACGGGGGTCTTGCACGCGTGCAAGCGCACGCCAAGCCTAGCCGGCCGCAGCCAGTCGCGAGCGATTGCTTTTACTTAAGATTGATGCAAGCAATGCGGGAGTGACGTTTTTTTTTATTGGTGTAGAGTAAAAGCATCTCTTTTTTTATCGCCAGGCACTTGCACAATGTTCCGCCCTCTTCCGTGTGTGTCCCGTGTTGTTTCATACTACCAATTTGTCACGAATACAAGGAGCTCTGCTTCCCAAGCAGTCTTGCTTTATCGATTACCTTAAGCTGTACACAAATAATGAATTTTTTCGGTGTCGACATACTAGCTAAGCCCACGCTTTTTTCGATTCGCACGGCCCCAACAGCACTCATCAATTCAATGAGGCGCACAAAAAAGCATCACACTTAATTTTTCAACCTTCTAGGAAACCTGACACCACTCTACAGTCCATGCGTGAAAGCTCGATCATATACAATTGATAGAGTTATACGTGCCACTACCGCCATATGGATGGTCTTTGCAGTTTACCACCATTCGAATACGGCCGCCCTGGCCGGACGTCAAACCTCCGTCCTCCAGCATAGTCACAAGACACCCAATAAGGCTATGCTACCACGGCAGGTGAAAGCACAAAGGGAAACAGGCTGCGATGTTTCACCCAGCGTTTATTCGCCAGAATGGGTTACAACCATCAGAAACGTTTTAAATACCATCATAACTACACTTTTGTGAAAAGCAAATCAAATAATTCTGTCAGTTAAACCAAATTCTCAATCACGTGCGTTTTGAACTACCCATACCAGCACTGAGTACTAACACTCACTCACTTTTGTGAAAAGAGTATTTGAAATCCAGAGTAACAGTAACCACCACAGCCACAGCGCAAACAACAAAATCATGGCACACACTATGACTGCAAGTTGACATACGAGGCGAATCGCGAGAGGCATCTGAAGCAGAAAAGTATGTAGGCACAACATGCTATAATTTTACAGTAAATTTGCGCACTGCAGCGATAGTTCCTCCACTCAAGTAATAGAGCTGCCGCGACGCCAACAGCCACTGCCATAGCTCACGGAAAAATACCGTCAGATGCGAGGTCATCGCTTATTTCTCTCGCAAGACCCATGTTGTAGCGTACGTATACACTGCCAGAACGGTCGTTACCGCATCAAAAACATTGTCATTGAAGGGCTAGCGATGTACTGTATCCATGGCTAACGGTCGCACCTGTGGCAAGCACGTTAAAAGAATATAAGCAAACGTTAACACGAAACAACTAAACGAGGTCGACGTGACGACAGAACACCTACCACGACGGAGACAAAATGGATGGATGGATGGATGGATGGATGGATATGGCTGTACCCTTTAGATCGGGTAGTGGCTAGCGCCACCAAGCCGTAATACTTAATGAGCCAAAAACTAGATTTATTTTTTTTTTCTTTAAAAAGTGAGTTTGAGGATTCGTACTTTGCAGTGAACAGTTTAATTTTCACTCGTGCCTTGACTTTAGCCACCAATCAGATAACCTCCTTCTAGTCAAGTCTACCCGCTTAAGCCTCGTCTGCATGCTGCGCCCTCTCCGAGTAACAAGTAGAAGAATAAAAAAAGACGTGACCTTCGAAATGGCTAGCGCGCGGCAAGCGTTTGCATTCTTGGAGGCTTCAAGAAAAAAAAAAAATAACTGTGGCAGTGGTCGAGAGATGGCGCAGCGTTCGGATATCCGTAGGCATTCTATGCACGGCTTTGGGGTATTCGCTTTCGTGAAAACCAGATAAGCTCTAGTAATTATTCCGTTGATTATTGTGCAACCGTTCATAAACTTCCGTTTGTCTAAGCATCAGATACAATATATTTACGTGTGCGCATGTTGTGGTATTGCCACAAAAGGTAAAAAAGTGTAAGAAAACCTACTTGTAGCTTGTGCCACTATGGTCAGTCGAAATTCATCGCTATATAAGCTTAACCGCTTTCGTAAATGGTATGAGTAAACACGTCGAAGTCTATGCCGCTGTGCGAATGGCTGATTGTGCTCTTGTTCTTTGAATTCACCCTATACGCGTACTATGTGTAGTATGTGTCCTTGTGTGCATGTGTAGTTATATCCATTTCTTCAGCGCATATTAGGCGTCCTGGTGAGTGAGTAATCCTGAATGTGCTGAGGCGTAAACTATCCGAAAGGGAGCAGTAATGGTGGGTATAACAACGTACATCGCCACAGGCGAGTTTTTCTATTTTAGCATCAATCAGTTTCTCCAGATGGCGCCAGCTGCCACCTACTTCACGGCTATGACGCTCTCACACCTCCAGCTACTTATATAACGTTGAACATCTATCTATCGAGGCTGCACTGATGAGTCTGAATGGTTTCGCTGCGATCGAGTCTATGGTTTGGAGGCACATCTCGTCACCTGGGGCCCCGCAAACGCATGGATAACGTCGTTACACTATGTAAATCTGCGAGAAATAAAT